GTTAACCGATATTTTGGGAACGAATTGGTTTGGGTCAGTATACTAAACTTTCAGTTGATTTGGTTCGGTACAGGTCCACAATTTTTTTTTCTAGGTTCAATTAGTCCAATTTTGATTTTTTTTTTAAATCAATTGTTTCAAGCCCAACATTTGGGTTAAAACTAATTAACTTTATGTTCAAAGTATCACATGATCGCATTTCCAATTAAATTGGCTTATTGCCAAACAAAAAGTTATTATTATATGACTTATTTATATGGCTTATTATCATTATAAATTTACTCATACACATTGATAGAAAAAAGGAATAGGGAGGAGTGTCACGAATTAGAGGTGTGGGATAATTTGTTGTGTTGCAACCCAGTAATGGCTTCTCATTCAACCAATTAAATGTTGACACATATATTAATAATTAGTAGAAAATTTTGTTTCAATTTAGGTTTGGTATAGATCAAATGGTTTAGGGAGAATGTAACCTGCTTCTTTAACTATTACTTTTCGTTAAAATCATATTGAAAGAAATTTTAATTTAACCAAACCAAACTAGACTGTGGATACGCGAATTTTTCGAATCATATGGCCAGCCCTAATCATTGGCATAGTTGACAATTTTTAAAGGGAGTTAATTTTCCCACTCCCAATCGTTGCATCCATAATTTTTTATTTTTTATTTAAAGGAAACAAATTTTAGGCGGCCACAAAGAAACATAAATGCATCTAACTACACATTTTTACATTTTCTTTTTCCGTGTTCTTCTCCGTCATAACCTTTTGGAAAACAGATATTGAATGAAAAAAATTGATCAACTTGTGGACATGAGTTGAATTCTCAGAATTTCAAAAAATGAATTGGGTTTGAGACTGTGAGTTTCAAGTTCACATTATTGGTGTTCTCTTTGTTTCATATGAGATCATTTTTTACATTCATTTTGTTTGGGTACCTTCTCAGAAAGTACAAACAACCAGGGATTGAAGAGAAAGAAAAAATTAAAAAATGGAAAAGAATTCTTCTCATAGAAATAATTCGGGGCATTCCAAGTTTGTAGGGGAATCCAAAAGCTTGGGTTTTATTGTTGTGTTACAGTGATGATGGAGAAATCCAAAAGCCTGGGTTTGGTTCACTCTCATTGATTGAGTACCCATATCAAAACTTTACTGTAGGGTGAGGGTATAATAGGAAAGAGAAAGAACACAAAAGAACAAAATTGATTAAAAAGTATTAAAAAGCAAAATGAAGTGTAAGTGGAGAAAAGATGAGTGAGACAATCAGCTTTATTATTATCGTGAATATTTTCATTGTTTATTGAGACTAATGTGTTTGTCTATTTATTTGATTGTAATTAGATGAATAAGTTGTATGATTTGGGTAATTTTTTTGATAGGGTAATCTTTGAATTAATGATAGCCTAGAAATGAATGTTTTAGACCATAATATGACGTTGTGGATGGAGAGAGCTTTGTATACGCACTACAGACATTCACCTTCCACCCATTTTTTTTGGTTGCTGAACTTTTTGTGTATGTCCAAAAGTCTTTCATATCATATGCCTAGTTGGTTTGGAAAGATGTATGAAACGGAATGTCCTGTACCTTAACTGAAAATCACTGTGTTCTTTCAACCAAAATCTAAATTCATTGGTGCAATGCAAACAGATAAAAAGGAAGGCTTTTAGATGTTGGAGACGGCCTTTAGCCCCTTTAAAATTTAAGATATAGTTGCAAACACTAGTACATATATTTATGTTACAGACTTTTTCTTGTTATCCCTTGTAAACCCTATTGGGCTACTGTAATGGAGTAAGCAATATAAGATGGGGGCATGCAAATCCTTCTAAAATCTATGCGGGAAAGAAACTTGTGGGACCTGTTTGAGATAAACCCTTGGACTTGAACAACAATCGCATGTTTTTTGTCTGCAAATAGCTCAAATTGGAGTTGAAACATTTATCACAATTTGAGACTCTCCCAAATAACCGCCAGAATACAGGTTCCTTTTCTAATAACACTAACATATATAGATTGAGTGACATAGCTATAGGAGATGAGCCTAGGAAGACAACTTAGACAACGTATCAATCAAGAAAAAGAAAAAGAATATGGGACCCCATAAAAAAAGGCTAGCGAGAGAGAGAGAGAGAGAGAGAGAGAGAGAGAGAGGAAACCCACAATCTACTTCCCACTCAAGTATTTTGCCCATTTTCATGATGATGTGGATGCACAAATTGGTGGAGGTCAAAGGGTGTACAGAAAGTGGGAATTGCTATCATCCTCTTCCTTTTTATATGTATGAGTGGGTGGTGGTCTCCTAGAGGCCTTCGGGGTCACTCAAGGTAATGACCACCTTTTTCAATTTGGTCAAAGTTCAATATCTTTATATATTTAGGGAAAATGACTGCATAAATCTCTCATTAGTTAGCTAATACAGTTCAGCTATACTTTTTATTTTTTTAAATGGTTACATGTGGGCCCAAACCCCAAAAGACTGTAATTACCTGGTTGCCAATGCATATTTTGACTTGCATTGCAATTAACAAAAAAAGCTTTTGGGGATTTTAGTCCTATGCCGACGAGAACTGCGTCGTTCATTAATGCGAAATAACTTTAAGCACATGCGATCATATGGTATGGAAAAGTAGTCAATTGGAGTACTGGATTTAGTGCATTGTATGTGAAGGGGTCATTTGGTTCAAGGTTTAAGAGTTAGGAATGGGTATGAAATTGCATTATCATGTTCGGTAAATGCATATTTAAGAGCATCTCCAACCGATGTGTCAAACATGCCACATAGACATTTAACAGCTAAAAATAACATCTCACATCACTCCAACCGATATGTCAAAGCTGATATGGAATAAAGGCTAAAAGTTGAGATGTTATTTTTGACATCCCAAAAGCAAGATGTCAAATGAATATTTTATTAATTTTTCTTTTCTTTTCTTATTAATTAAAAATGAATCAACACTAAAATGTAATAAAGTAATAATTTAATTTGACATATCGGGTGGAGTGTAAAGCTGTATAAGATGTCAAATTGCCACATCAGCCATCAAATTTAAATTTGATGGCTGATGTGGCAATTTGACATTTACACAGTTTTTTACTCCACCCGATATGTCAAATAAATAATTATTGTAACAGTCAAATCATTTAAGATAAAGAAGAAAAATAATAATAAATGAAAGTTACAACCAGCTGTCTTTAAAAAATAATAAAAAATTTATTTGACATCTTGCTTTTGGGATGTCAAAAATAAAAACTGAACCTCTAGCCTTCATTCAACATCAGCTTTGACAATTCAGATAGAGTAATGTGAGATGTTATTTCTAACCGTTAAATGTCTATGTGGCACTTTTGACATATCGGTTGGAGATGCTCTAATAATGCAATACCTAACTCATGGGTATGAACTTCCCATATAGGGGGAATTTTATAAAATTTGCCCACCCTGTGAAACTTGATGTGCTTTTAGACCAACCTAAATATTAGATCAACTTAAATCGAGTTAAAACTCACAAGTGGATTAATCGATTTATAGTATAGTTTGATGCAAGTACAAGTATCATTTCCACATAGATTAGTGATCAATTCTAGTTCTTTCACCTAACTCAATTCAAGACTCTCTTTTTTTGGATTTCCAATTTATGACTCAACAACTACTTAACACTAACAAAAATAAAAATAAAAATGAAACACAACTCAGAACTAAAAAGGGGTGCAATGATTTGAAAGCAAGCAAATGATTAAATGAAATGAAATGAAACAAGCTATCAAAACTAGCAAGTCACCGAAAAAACAGCAAGTAAAAGGGCATCACTAAAGAGTTCTTAGGGGATCCCGAGTCTCTACATTTAGAAGTTATACATTTATCTACATTTCGCAACACCATTCTGATTATCTAATCGTTGAATACATGACACATCATCAGCATAAGTATTTAAAATTTTTTTTAATTTGAAAAATTATTTAAAATTAACAATTGTTTTATTGTTTAAATAAAAATGAAAAGAAAATTGATAAACCACTGCCTTATAGGAATATGGGGAGGGGCTACATGGAATTGGGTAAGAGGAAGTCAGTCAACAAAACAATTTATGTACACAATCATTGATGGGTTCAAATGTGTGTGTGTGTGTGTGAGAGAGAGAGAGAGATATATATATATATATATACACACACGCACACATGGTAGCTTGTACGGCGACTTATTGTTGATGTTGACTCACCTAAAAGATGTGAAAGGAATAAAGGAAACTGTTAGTCAAAAGAGCTGTAGACGAGTTGACTCGTGCTTGAGCAGCACATAGACGTTTTTCGCTCAGGCCTAGCTGCTCGAGCAGTAGAAAGGTGTCTCAACTGGACGCAGGCGCTCGAGCGGGAGGCACGAGTCCAACGTAGATCCTTGGCGAATTAGGATAAATTTCTTCCTAGTTTTGGGGTTTTTTTTAAGTTTCCTATTCCTTGTATGATTGTACTAAAGTCTTATAACGTATAAATATGCAATTTAGTGCTTAGGGTTTTATCGAACAAGTACAAGAGAGAAAACTAAGGCATCAAATTGGGTTTGAGCCAAGGGTGAGAGAAAAGAGTGTGAGAGAGCAAGTGGGGTTCTTCATTGTAATAAAATGTGCTCTTTCTTATTGGAGAATTTATCAAAGATTAGCAAAGACGACGTAGGCACAACGACGAACCTCTATAAATTCTTGTGTTCTTTATATGTGTTTATTTTTCAGTTGGTGTCTGTTTTTATCTTTGCGTGACTTGTGTGTGGTAGTTGCGTAGCCCATCAACGACAATGTCTTGGAGTGTTTTCGCACAAGTGGTATCAGAGCCGCAGTTGCGAGGAGTATTAGTTTATGCCCAAATGCTCTTATAACTTCTAAAGTGGCAGTGTGTTAACGATGTCAGGCGACAAGGAGGAAGGAGAAAGCTCCCAGACAAAGACACCACGTGTGGCGAGTGTGAAGGTCTAGTTGAAGTCATTCATCGGCAACGAGAACTTCATGTTTTGGCAAAGGAGGATGAAGCACGTCCTTAAGCAGCAAGGTCTCAACACAGTTTTGGCACGCAAGAAAAAGAAGCCAGACACCATGACGGATGTTGAATGGGAAGATCTAGAAAAGCTTGCTAGAGGGTCCATCGAACCACACCTCATTGACGAAGTGTTGTGTAAAGCGATGGAATATATCCCGAAGCAGACATGGGATAAACTTGAAAAGATGTTTGCATTACAATTGTTGTCCAACAAGCTTTTCTTGAAGGAAAAGCTTCACTCTCTAAAGATAGAGAAGGGTGTAAACATGATGGAGCACGTGAGTGTCTTTAATAGGTGTATTGCGGACTTGCAAAGATTGGATGAGATTTATAAGTCGGAAGACAATTTCGTGATGTTATTGACATCTATGCCTCCTTATAAGCACTTCCACATGACGCTTATGTTCGACAAAGGAACTTTGAAGTATGAAGAAGTGATGAAAGACATCCTGATGCATCACAGAATGGTTCAATGTTCCAGTGATAGCTCTCAAGGTGAAGGTCTTATGGAAAAGGCCAGAGAGAAGGATTGATCAAGTAGGCACGAAGGCAAGAAGAACAATAGGAGAAGATCAAAATCCAAGGTTAAAGATGGTTGCTTTGAGTATGGGCCAAAAGATCATTGGAGAAGAATTGTCTTACATGGAGAGAGAAGAGAAACAAAGGGTAGATGTTGGATGAAGCCGGGATTGCGGAGGATAGTGATGGCGATCTTTTATTTACTGATATCATTGTTATTACTGATGCACTTGCTATCTCTTCCAGGGTTTCATCTTCTGATTGGATTTTGAATTTTGGGTGCTCATATCAGATGTGTTCAAACAAATCTTGGGTTGACATATATATCAAACAAACCAAGTATCGTATTAAAACTACCATGTGTCTGTTATCCTTAATCTTATGAGCTAGATCATGCATGCAATGTATTAAACCCACACACAATCACACAAGTAGTCTAGATGCAAATTCTAGAGATTGACAATCAAAAGAATTAAACATATAGAACCAAATAAACCAGAGATTAAGAATAATTCAATATGATAACTTGAAATTCAATAAGTTTGCATCCAAAAATATGAATATTTGAATTAGGGTTTCATTCTAGCCTTTGCAAATAATTTAGTTACATATAATCATTGAAATAAAGCAAAACAAAATCATAAGCAAGACAAGATGGCTACATCAAGGGGGCTCCAAGGCGGGCAACAGCTGCTCCAAGATCTCTCTCTCTCTCTCTCTCTCTCTCTCTCTCTCTCTCTCTCTCTCAATTTAGGTTGATTTGGAGCTTAATGAGTTAACTCTGCATAAGCCGCACATCTCTTCCTTTTAAAGAGAGGAGGAACATCTAGTATTTCTCCTAAAATCACAAGGACTTAGCTTTTTTTAATATTGGCCTTGTTGAGATTGTTAAGAAAATGAATGTGTACCATAAGATATCGCCATACTTTAGATGTGTTTGTTAAGAGTCTCATTCCTTATCATAGTAACACTTCTAAAGAAGAATACCTGAATTCAAGGGGAAAATTCTTTCCAACATGGGGAGAATGATGCAGATTGTGTCACAACAAGTATTTAGACGTGATTGATAAGTGTAAGGATTTGAAAAGGACGGTTATAAGGAGTGGTGCTCATTATGGGGCGTGTTGAGAGTATTTGTCCCACATTAGAGAATAGAAGTCTTGCATAAGTGCTTAAAATCTTGGATCTCTCCACGCACAGTTAATTGATTCCAAGTTGAATGCTCACATTCTAATTATGATATCAAAGCATAGTATTCACAAGACAACCATGGTTGGTGGAGCATAATAGAAATACCAAACAATAATTAAGGGGAAAGGTTTGTGATTGCCCAAAACTTATGGGCTCTTCTTGCAACAAAAATTAGGGATGGGAATCCGACCTAAAAGAATTAGGGATGAGAAAACGACAATATTCGTTTCAACATTCAGTCCGTGGCAGCATTGTCGTTTATTATACAGTGACCTCTGGGTCTTCTCCTCCACATGGACTTCATTTGGTGGCCCTTCCACGAACTGCACGATTCATGTCCCTAATTGAGGACTTTTTTTGTCCTCCTCTTCCTCATTTTCGTCTCATATGCACTCTTCGGGATACCAAATACTATTGCAAACAGTTTCCATTTGTTTGTTTGTTTTTGTTTTTTTGGGTATCAGTTAATAGTAAAAACTGAAATTAATTGTTATATGTGCAAAATTGTCATAATCTTCTCTAATGTGTTCATGATCCACTTTTGAAATTTTAGTATATCTTAGATTCACTCGCCTAATCCCCTTGGCATGTTACCTTTTTCATAAAAATAAAAATAAAAATATAGAGTTTTACAAGCTAGCGTTGATTGAGAGGAAATCTTGCATGGTTATATATAAGCTTTGTATTTTCCTTTGTTTTGCTTGATGAAAATGAGAAGTCAATATCTGAATGTGTCGAGGGGAAATGATTTTCATGAAGACCATGGGGCTAATTTGCACTTTCAGATGTTATACATGTGGCTGTCCACATATCATCAAATGTTAGTGTTTGTCACCTTTAGGTCAATCAGCTCGCCAAGTCAAAGCTGGCCAACCTTCCAATATTGGACAAAAACAAAAGAGAAAGAAAATGTCTTCTCAGAAACCCATTTGAGAAAAAAGAAAAATGGTCTTCTCGGAAACCCTGAGGTTGGGAAATGGGAGAGAGAGAGAGAGAGAGAGAGAGAGAGAGAGAGAGAGAGAGAGAGAGAGAGAGAGAGAGAGAGAGAGAGATCATTGGTGGAATGTGCATTAGAAGAGGGCTATAGACTTTGAGATGACTACAATAACATTCCACCACTAGATATGGAAAAATAATTGTGGGTTTTTGACCCTTTAAGCTCCACACAAAGAAAAAAAACCCAAATGTCATTGATCTCACGCACTTCCAATTATGGAGTTGTCATTTTTTCCAGAGTAACAAAATATCTAATCACCAACATACTCACACTCAACATATAGAGAAAGAGATCGTAGAGTAGTTCAACGGTTGCAATCATCGGATTTTGTTGACTTTTGACTATAGACCATATGTGGCATTTGAATGAATTGTTCTTCTCTCTCTCTCTCTCTCTCTCTCTCTCTCTCTCTCTCTCTCTCTCTCTGAGGTAACAAAATGATTTTTGAAGCTGACTTTGATCATTCTAGGATTTGTACATTTTTCAAGTCTCCTAGAAATGATGCATCTACTCTCCAGCTAGCATATCTGAATGAGGGTCTACTTTGAAGACTATGGATAACCAATTAAATTTATTGGACATGGGATGCAATTAAGGACAGGCCATTTCAAAGTGGTCAATCAAATCTTATCAATGTTCAACAATTAGCTTGCCAAACTAGGTAGGGCATAAGAGTATCTTGCATAGATCTCCAATTTTCGTAGAATGGAACTTCCACACAATTAGACCCTTTCATGGTTGACAAACTAATTTGTATACCAATTTATAGCTAACTTCAATTTGCATATGTACTGTTGTTGTCACATCTTGTTTCGCAGTTATAATTTTTTGAGATTATTGCGCATTTAATTTGTGCATCTAAGTGTCGACCATAATGTTCAGGGTTCACAATATGATACTTCTCTTAATGTTGAAAAATATTCGAAATTCAAATATAAAAAGCACCGAGGCCAATAATGTGAAGCTTTACCAACAAAAAAAAAGAGATAAAAAGAACTGAATATAACTTTTCCCATATATAGTGAAACGCATATACTGCTGCCATGCCATTTACTAGTAGTGGGGAGAGCCTTTTGCTAACATAAAAAAACTAGCAAATTGGTTTTTGGTAGAAAATATGTTACTTAAGCAAGGGATAAAGTGAAAAAAAAATAATAATAATAACAAAGGTTGAAAAGACTCCTCAGTGGACAAAAAGGACAATACAACATCTTCTTTTGTGATGTCTAGGGATTTTTATACCCTAATCTTAAGGCACCTGCAAAAAGGAACGTATAGAGAAGACGCAAATGCCATCCATTTTTCGGGAAAGTGACTGCTAAATTATACACGCTTGTCTGCGGGCCTCTCTCTATCATCCATATAAACACATTAAATATGTTAGGCCGTGTCAAAACTCAAACCTGAAAAACTGGCTTTAACCAAAAGCTACCTCTCACCTGCCACATTCACAGATTACATTCACTCCAAAAATTTTGTATTAGTTTGGTAAATATAGTCCAAAAAGCTAGCATCAATGGTTTCATCAACCATGTGATGAGGTTTGGAAGATGAACATGTTTTCTTTCAAGAGTTCGGAAGATGTTTCTTTCATGAAAAGATTTGACACTCGTAGGGTTTGATATGTGATCAAAATATGGGGTCAAATGCAAGATCCCAGAGTTTGGAAGCTGTTTTAATCAACAGACAGAGAATTAAATTGGTTATGTTTATTCTTCAGCTTGCAAGAAATTTGTTGGGCTACTTTGACTGGAGATATATACCGCGTATACGTACGTCTAAGCGATGAACTTGTATTCTTAATTACTCTAAGAATTTACAGATGCACAGTATACTGTCTGTATATATAGCTAGGGTGACATTGCAAGAATGAAAATAGGACGATCTTTGTTGAGAGAAATCATAACATTTCCTACTGTTATACGTTGGAAATTATATTCCTTTTTGGGTATAATGTATTTGGAAATTATTTTGCACTACTGACAAAAGGAAAAATACAATAGTTACGAGCAAGCTTGGACATACTCTACTTTCTGTGAATCTTTTTCCGTTTCCCTTTCAAAATAGTCAAATTGAAGAATATAGCATTTTTTATTTTATTTTCTTCTTCTTTTGGATATCTTTCTTTTTTTGTTGTCAAAGTTAGAAAGGAGGAGGGAGGTTTCTCACATACATACTGTCAATGTATCATGGGAGTTCAAACCTGAGACAACTTGTTTTGCAAGTTAAGACCATTTTTCACTCAACTAGACCTCATTGGCTTTTTCTTTTGGTTATCGTGAGAGTCTGATATATAAAATAGTTATGTTAGAGGTCGGAGAAACTAAGCGGTCAAAACCGCTCAAACAACCATTAAACTTACATCACTAAAATTAAGCATGATATGAAGTTAAGCCTACAAAATTCAAAACATCCAAAATCCTGAAACAACCATAAACGTCCTAAGTGAAAGAGACTCTTCTTGTTTATTTACCCCTCAATCGGCCTTTTCCCTATGATTGGGGGACAACGTTTTCCTTTTCTTTTTTTAATTTTTTACTTATTTAGGACGTTTTAGAAGTCCAGCAACTTTTATCCAAATAGGCTTTTAGCACTCACTGCTTATACTAAACTATGTCAATAGGTAATACCACAACAACTAATTAAGCTTTTCGTTTTTATTTATTTATAGTAATATACCTGCATTTTATTTAAACATTTTGTCTTCAAATTCTATGGTCTAACGGCCAAAAAAGACAACAATTAATTCATGAGTTATTTACACTAAAATCTCTTCAGATTTTCGACTTTGCCATTTGGAGAATTTTTTAATATAAAAGGACGGAGGGTTTTATTTCCCCTTCTGTTTTTCCCATGTGCCAATAAATTATCTCATATACTTGAATTGACTAAACATTGAAAATCAAATAATTTCTTATTATGAAGCCCCTTTTTCATGAACCAAACACACCCGTAATTTATTCTCTATGCCTCCAAATTAATGATCATAAATTTGTGCCTAACTTTCCTTCCCCCCTCTAAAAGACCTTAGCCAGTTAGCCGTTCTCCTCAAAGCCTTTTCCAACCCCGAGTGGTTGACTCTCTTCAGCACCAAGTGGGGTTCTCCCACCACTCAAGTGTGAGTTGGTCATGACACATGTGGTCTTATTTCCTACTTTGTCTTGTTTTTTTTTCCTCCTTTCTTTTTGTTTTTTTGTCTGTTGGAATTTATTTCATATTTGTTACTTTTAAAAAAAAAATTGTGGAGAGAGATAGACGTGTTTAAAGTAAGAGTTACTAATGAAATTTACTGAGAAAAAATATAATACAAAAGAGAGATCCAAAATGTGTGCACAAATTATAATTGGAGTATTAAATTAACCCTAATTTTTAACCTATTAATATTGAATTAATTAAAATTAATAGGGACCAACTAGAGGGTTGATTTAGTAATTTTGTAAATAAGTTTAAGATTAGAATTTGACCCCCAAAAAAAAAGGTTTAAGATTAGAAAACTTTTGTTAATTCCTAGTTTTTCATAAAATAAGCAATTCTTATAGTTTGTTGTCGTGAAAGCATTTACAAACATGCCAACAATGGGATAAATCAACAAGGGTGCGAATCACAGTGTGAGAAAAAGAGAAGTACGTAGTGTGTGTTTTTCCTCTTTTTATACAGAACGTTGGATGCAAACATGATTTTTTAAAACTATTTGAGCTATAAACTCCTTATGAAAGAGATAATGTATAATACAGCTATGTATTAAACACGTACAATACTATGTACTCAGTGTTGGCATTTGAGATGTATATGTAAATAAGTATGTGTATAATATGAGTATATTGTTACATAGGTCGTATGCACAAGAAGACAAGAGAGAGAGAGAGAGAGAGAGAGAGAGAGAGAGAGAGAGAGGAGCACAAAAGGAGTGGTGGGGAGAGTGAAAAGACAAGTCAAACGTCAAATCGGAGGTCTTTGGTATCATAAGACAGTCAGTGGGTTGTGCTGTCAATCCAAAGGATTTGATTTTCTCTTCTTCTTTCTTTCTATTTTATTAGGGGGCAAAACAACAGCTTTCTTTCTTTTCCCAATTTTCCATTTTTCTTCTTCTTCTTCCTCTTTCATCTTATTGTCCCAAAAATAAATAACACATAGTTCAAAATTAAGTAACAAACAGTGTTCTAGGTCTCTTCTGTTGCACGTGACAGGCCTTGTCTCACGTGCACACTACCATGCACTCACTGGTATCAAATTTAATAAACTTGGTGTTGTTTGGTGGCAGCAGTCCCTATATATATATATATATACACACACACACACACATACACGAATATGTGAATCTTGAACCCCAAAAGGCCCAGCCGACACGCTTTCCCATGCCCACTTTCATCTCTTGTCCACTCTGTCGTCCCCCAGTCTCTCATATGCCCTCTTCAATATTTTGTTCAACTAACATTTAACCCAGCAGAAAAGAATGTTTTGACAATTCACATCTAAATTTTTATTTTATTTTATTTTTGTTGTTGGTTTCAAATTCAATGGAGGCTAGAGGGGACCTTCGAAGTGCGGGGATAAAACTTTCAGAGAATATTATGTTTTAATTGACTTAATTACAGAGGTCGCTCACTTGATTATTATATATATTTTCTTAATTATTATTATTTTTTTCCTCACAAAGTTAGATCATTAACATTAACCACCCAGTTAATTAGCTTAAACTTGATTTAACTGCCTTTCCACGAAGAGACATTTAACCGTTGGACTCAAAATGGTGTCATTGGTAATCATCATGGCTGTTTTCGAAAGTTGGTGTTTGATTGTTATGCATCAATAAACACAAACCGGACACAAAACTATTCAATATTCTTTTGTCCCATTTTGTGTTTTAGAATTCCAAAATCCTCTTGCACCAAATTTGTGTTTATCTATGTAAATTGGCAACCCTCACTTGTGATAATTAGTCTTAATTCCAACACTATCACAAATTCACAACATAAAGTTGGAACCAACAGTTGGAGTTAAGTCGATCGAAATTGAGAAATTGTTGTAATCAGTGTTGAGAGTATCCCACATTGAAGGATGAAAATTCAATTCAGGAGCTTAAAAGTTTTGGGTCCTCAGTATTCATTGTCAAATGGTTTTGAATTGTATGCTCACGTTCTAACATGATATGAAAACATACTACCTAAGTGAGATTCGGCTGGATGGTGTTAATTGTATTGCAACACAACCATAAGTATACATAGCCTAAGATAATGTCTACCTAGAAATTTGGACAATGAATTTTGAGGAAAAACGACTAAAGATCGAGAAAAGAAGTAATGGTCAATTGTAACAAATTACTAAAGGATTTGGACAGTTTGATGGGGTAGTCAGGTGTAGTCTTTTAGTGCATGCCTCGCTTACATGTAAGGAACTAATGAACCACTTGTGCCATGTGAGTATATTTACCAAATAAATTTTCTTGACAGAAATGGACATACAGAGAAATTCGTAGCTTAAGTTTCACGGTATGTATATGCAAAACTTCTACCATTTTAGTCCTTTTTTGGTCGGATATGATACTTTGTTTCTTTCTATATTATTAAAAATATGTTTTTTTGTTTGTTAATAAAACAACTGTCATATGCGAGATTTGAACTTGGGAATTCCGCTAAAAAAGTAAAGATTGAATGCCATTAACTAAATAATCATTCTACGTACTAATGAAACTATCAATATGATTACTTTCTTTCATCATTATTTTCAATACTTTACATTTGGTGGAATTCCAAACAGTGGAGGAACCGAAATAATAATAATAATAATTATTATTTTTACATTACAACAGCAGCATAGTCACAATGGAATAATTTCAATTCTGGTTTTTTTTTTTAACTTCTTTAGTTCTTGAGGTTCTTATGGGATGATGGATGATGGATCTAAATCACATCTGTTGAATGGACAGATGGAAAGGTAGTGCAAACTGCTAGAATGGCTACACAAAGTCTCCCCTCCCCACATTTTCTCTTTCCTTAGGACAAAAGAAAAGAAACAAAAAGAAAAAAATAAAATAAAGTAGAAGCTGCAAAATAAAACACATCCAATTTGTAAAGGTTTTATTATAATAATTAATATGAAAGAGGGTCAGGGATAGATATTGCAAAATGCGAGTAAATATAGAGGCTCGGATTCATTTTGTCACACCTTACAGTTCACATGCTATAAGCTTAAGTAGGGCACAATTAAAGAGAAATAATTAGCATGTATTAATTGCAGTCTAAACCTTACCCTATGATTGAGAAAAGTTAAAGAAATACAGGCCTCTAGAGATGCATCATGCATAGAGGCTAAAAGTGGTTCGGGCCACATTAGTCATTAGTCTAAGAGCAGTCAACAGAAATCAGGAAAAAAATGATATCCTAATATCCAATATCCCCCACTTCCATAAAAGGGTGAAAATTTAAACTTGTTTTTTGACAACTTATTTCTATAATGAGGTAATTACTGTTAACTTAGGGTTGTTGATAGTAAAACACGGGGCTAATCATGAATGTTAATGATATAATATGCAGCCAAAAAACAATATTATTATTAATTAAATAAAATAAAACCTTTTGTTCATTTTCTATTCATGAATTCCCCTCTACCCCTGACCCCCTCCCATCATTTTCTCCCCTTTCCCATCAATTTTTTAACTAATCAATTATTTTATTTCTTTTTAGATTTCTTTTTTAAATACCACAGCCGCCCAGAACAGCCACCCAATTTGCTCTCTCTCTCTCTCTCTCTCTCTCACAAAATATCTACCAACACACACACACAAACACAATATCACTCCATTGAGACAAAAGAATCTGTCAAAAAACAATAACAGTGGAGAGAGTTCCTCTTCTTCTTCTTCATCCTTCAACAGCTAAACCAATCAATCCCCCCAAAAAGTAAGAATTACAGAAAATAAACATGAACCCATTACAGTTTTAGCTCCTCTCTCCAGCTCTCAATTTCTCTCGCTCCCAACCCTAAAAAATTGCCCTTACCACCATATCCAGAACGAAAGCATCATGAGCAGCCTTGAAGAGTCTCTAAGATCTCTGTCCCTAGATTACCTAAATCTGCTCATCAATGGCCAAGCCTTCAGTGACGTCACCTTCAGCGTGGAGGGTCGTCTAGTCCATGCCCACAGGTGCATCCTAGCTGCCCGGAGCCTCTTCTTCCGCAAATTCTTCTGTGGGCCGGACCCGCCTTCCGGGCTCGACCCGATATCCGGGTCGAGGATGAGCCCTGGTGGCACGTCGTCCTCGTGCCACCGTGCGGCCAATTCTCAGCACCAGCAGCAGGTGATACCGGTGAACTCGGTGGGGTACGAGGTGTTCTTGTTGCTGTTGCAGTTCTTGTACAGTGGACAAGTCTCGATAGTGCCTCAGAAACATGAGCCAAGGCCTAATTGTGGAGAGAGAGGGTGCTGGCACACGCATTGCACCTCCGCCGTTGATCTTGCTCTTGACACTCTTGCTGCCGCTAGATCCTTTGGTGTTGAACAACTTGCATTGCTCACTCAGGTACTGTGTGTTTTGTGTGTGTCTAATCACTCTCTCTCTCTCTTTCTTTCTCTGCTCTCTTTCTTGGTTTTTGTGTGTGTTGTTCTGTCTTATGTTTTGTGGGTTTTGGGAATTTCTACAATTCCTTGGTTTTGATTTGGTGTTTCTCTCTCTTTTGTTGATACTGGTTTGTTTTTTTCTCTCTCTTTCATCACTTCATTTGTTCTTTGTTCTCCAAACTACTGGTCTTTTTGATGAACTGGGTGAAGTTGGGATGTTTTTCTGTCCAATCTCCAACTATTTTCCCTCCCAATTTCTCTTTTTATTTCCTCTTTTTAGGAGTAGCATTGTCTAATTATTTTATTTTGATTAACCACAGTACTTACAATAATCCCTTTTATGGTGTGCTTAATTATATTTATACCTCAGAGGGCTCTCTCTCCTCCTCATTTTCTTCTTCTTCTTCTTCTTCTTCCTTAGTGAAGGTTGTATTGAACTTCCTTAGTAAAGGAAAGAATACATGTTTTTCTTGATTTCATGTACCATTTCGCAAGTTTCTTGAATTTGGTCTTTTTTTTCTTTCTATCTTTTAATTGCACATCCCTGACTTTCTAAATTTAGATCTTGATATCCAGTCTTGTCTTCCACAGTAAAACACCACAAATCTTATTTGGTTTAACTGCAAAGGAATACAAAATTTAAGAAAAGGACTCCTATAGCTCCCCCACACATATAATTTTAGCACAAAAACATCCCATCACTTTTATCAATACAAATCTTATTATTAATAAACAAAAACATCCCAAAAGTCCATCCGTCGCACTAATGGAATTCCAACTACACTTCTCATCTATACATGTCCTTGTTTTTTTTTTTGTTCTTTTTATGTCCTCACAGAAGCAATTGGCAAGCATGGTGGAAAAGGCCTCAATTGATGATGTGATGAAAGTCCTCTTAGCTTCAAGAAAACAAGACATGCATCAACTCTGGACAACTTGCTCTCACCTTGTTGCCAAATCGGGCCTCCCACCTGAAGTCCTAGCCAAGCACCTCCCCATCGATGTCGTGGCCAAAATCGAAGAGCTTCGTCTCAAATCCTCCCTCGCCCGCCGCTCAATGATGCCTCATCACCACCACCACCATCACCACCACGACCTCGGGGCAGCAGCCGATCTCGAGGACCAGAAAATCCGCCGGATGAGGCGGGCATTGGACTCATCCGATGTCGAACTCGTCAAGCTCATGGTAATGGGCGAAGGCCTAAATCTCGACGATGCATTGGCATTACACTATGCGGTCGAAAATTGTAGCCGAGAGGTTGTCAAAGCATTACTAGAACTTGGAGCAGCAGATGTTAACTACCCGGCAGGGCCAGCTGGCAAAACCCCACTTCACATTGCATCCGAAATGGTGTCGCCCGACATGGTGGCCGTCCTGCTCGACCACCACGCCGACCCGAATGTCCGGACCGTCGACGGGGTTACTCCCCTCGACGTACTAAGAACCCTAACTTCAGATTTTCTCTTCAAAGGGGCCGTCCCGGGACTTACCCACATTGAACCAAACAAGCTCAGGCTCTGCCTGGAGCTTGTTCAATCTGCTGCTCTTGTTCTTTCCCGCGAAGAAGGCAACAACAATGCAAACAACGCTCCCAATTCTTCGAATTCGACCGCGATCTACCCGCCTATCAACGACGATCACCATAGTAGTGGCAGCAACAGCGGCAACATTGGCAACCTAAACTTGGATTCTAGATTGGTGTATCTCAATCTTGGAGCAACTCAAATGGGGTCTAGAAATATGGACGGTCATGATCATCAAGATCATGATCATCATGGGAGCCATAGTAGCCATAGGGCACAAGGTGGCTGTGACCCAGCAACAATGTACCACCACTCTCATGACTACTAGCTATTTTATTATATTATTTTGCTAAGACTCTTCATGATCAGTTATAATATTATTATTTATATATCTTCTTTTTTCTAAATAGATGCATCCACTTGGATGGTCATGAAGCAGAAAAAAAACATCATCAAAATTTCATGAAATCTAATATCTATGGAGATTACTGGATCATCTGGTTTTGTTTCTTTGTTTTTTCTCTGCTTCTCTGTGGTTGCTTCTGATCTTTTTTTGTAGGCTTTCGTCGATCGTTCGTCGTACGAAATTGGAGCCATGGGGTTGAATGTTGATGACACAAATGGAGAATGTGAGATGTTCGCTAATGCATGATGGATCCATGGAGATTGGAGAGAGACGCAGGTCAATCTTTTCAACCCCTCTGGCCTGTCATCTCCTTTGTATTTATTGATCTATCTAATTTCATCGCGTATTTATTATGGTCCTTATATTTTCTTGTCCCCCACCCACCTCTCATCATCCCTCTATACATATTATATTCACATTATTTTATATTATTTTCTTAAATCCCATATAAAAAAATGTTCATATCTGATTTAATGATTGACATAATAATTTTTAACTTCTTTTTATGGGAATTTTCAACTTAAATCCTGATTAGAATAAGGTTATGGGTATCTTCTGGGAGGGGTATCTTGCTCCAATTTTAATGTGTAAGGCTTTGTTTGGACCATGGGTACTTTCACACAGGGAATTATAGGGAAATGAGCTGTCTCTTCCTCCATTTTCTTATTACTTTTCATACAAGTGCAATAATCTGTCTGAAGAAAGTCTTCATTGGCTGTAATTTTGGCTAATTATTTTTTAAAGGGACGTACGAGAACTCTAGGCTATGGACAAATTGAGTGGTTGTCTTGCATGAATGCAACAATTGAGTGTGACAGACAGCACCCTACAGACTAGAAACTATTGGGTTGTTTTTTTTTGTGTCTCCCTGTAGTGTACCTTATCGGGCCCTCTTATATATTATCCAGAACGCTTCCACAAGCTTACGGATAAAACCCTAGTTTTTTTTAAATGTAGTTAATTTTTGTCCGGGCCTACGGGGTATGTATTGTGGTCAGTGGTCTATTGTAGATGTAGATCTCTTAATTAATTAGCTACTCTCTTTAATCTCCTGCATGTATATGATTCTTTTTTCATTTTCAATTTTTTTTTTGGAAAATATATATATATTTTTTCACATCAGCTTCGAACTAAAGGAAAAAAACTATAATCTATGCCAATCAATTTGATAAGTGCAATAAAGAAGAGAAAACATGCATTAATCCACTTTAAAATTTGCTTATGGATCTTTGAAAGTTTCCTGATTTCTTCTGGCACAAGTGGTGTTTAGTATAAAGCATTCTGGACGTCCTTTGCTTGATTATACCATTTTATGCAAGGTATATGAATTCAAGATTTCGGTGTCGAGACGTATACATAATTCAGATAACAAAAATACATTTAATGCCGAAATCGGATATCTCTCAGTTTCTTATTGCTGATTTGACTCTAGCTGATGAGCTATATTCTTGGTTTTGTTAGCCTCCAGGTAAAATGTATATCTCTTAGGCTGATTATGGTTTCTTGTTGAAGTATTCTTGGTTTTGTTAGCCTCCAGATACGCAGCAAGCAGCCGTTAACCATTATTATAATAAAAAGTCCCCCATGCATACTGATGATACCAAAATGAAGAACATTTTGTATGATGCAGATATAGGGCTTAAATTGTATGTTTAACATGCAAGGAAGGTTTCAACTTTCCGAGATATGCAAACGTTTTTAATAGATGTTGTCTTTTGAAATCATCGCATCATTGGCAATCCCCAAAACTTCTTGCACTTCTCTGCAACTAATTAATTTCCACCATCCATAGATGATCAATATTGTCTTTAAATTTTTTTTGTGGAAGTGTGAGAAGATGACTTTCGTTTTCCTTCATTCTTTTGTTCAAAAGAAAGAACTAATAAAAACAAGAAGTGAATCTGCCAATTAGGCATTAACATTTCTCTAGAAACTTAAGCATGGCAAAATTATCTTGTCGAAGATAAAGAAAGAGTACATAAAATTGTTTTGTATATAATCATGCAACATTCCAGTCGTCTCTCACATTCTTGCTCATGCAAGTACCAGTATGGGAGTTATGTATTGTGCCATATATATAAGCTAGAGAAGTACCGACATCATTGGATGTTCATATAGAACTACTTGTCTTATAATATGTCAAGTTTGCATTTTGACATGTTGTTTCCCTCTTTTCAGTCGAGTAGGTCGATTGAAGGAATTTTTGGTCCTCCTTTTAATGGAGTGTGCGGCGTGCCACTAACAAGCTACAAATTGGGCTTCAATGGAATGTGAGTAGATGATGCGTCCATAATCTGACTCTAATCAAACAATTGTTCGGCCGAGAAAGCAACCTAATTACGGCCTAAGTTCTTTCACTACCTTGAGGTTAAGGCTTTATGTGAGCAACCAAGTGATGTGGAGTGGGTGTAAATGAAACGACTACAAAAAAAAAAAAAAAAAAAAAAAAAAAAAAAAAGTCTCAACATCTCCATTTTGGTGACATAGCAAGGGTGACTAAAGGCTTTAGTCACCTTTTTTTTGTAGTGCGAGAACAAGGTGCGTAAAGTAAATGTGCTTCAATTCAAATATAATTGAAAAGATGAGTGCGGAAAGTAAAATGCATAAATTAAATAATTTAAAGACAAGTGCGCAAAGTAAAATGCATAAATTAAATAATTTAAAGACAAATACGTAATGTAAATTGCATAAAGTAAATAATTAAAATGTAAATACATAAATTAAAGTGCGGAAAGTAAACTAAATTAATAAGAGCAATGAGGGGTAAACTAAGACTTGAATTGAAATGGAATTGAAAAACAAGAACAAGAATGTAAAGGCATAATTAAAATCTACGGCAACTAAGGTGGAAAAATATGAACTAGACTACGTCTGGGATCTTTCTCTCTTCCAAAAGCTTTGTATTTATAAGGGTTTTGGTGCATCTCAATTAGTATTCAAATCAGTCATAATTTCCTTGTTGTTAAATATCATTAATTCTAGTTGATTGCTTGAATCGTCTTAGTTGACCCAAAATGCATTCAATTCCCTTGATTCATGCTTGTGGTTTAATCTAAATAATAATGTTGATTTGATTTTCATTCCATTTTGAGCTCTTTCATAATAACTTCAGTTGACCATCAGGTTAGCATAATCCCTTATATATGTGCATTGTAACAGGTGTGAAAATCCTTATACGGATTATCTCTCCTCATTTAAACCTCGACTTATTTTATGCATTCAGTCGTATCTAAAGGTTCTGCTATGTGCTCGGTTGTTTTAGGCGATCGGCAGTTTTCACATGCTCCACCAATTTTACATGTTGCTGCCTTTCATAAGATCGGCCGCATTTCATGTGTTCATAAAGATTTAGGTTTTTGGTCGCATTTATGATTTTGGGCTTGTAGCCAACCTTTATTAATTAGGGACATTTGAACATAGCTTGGGGCCCAAAGGTAATTTGGGATTGCTCAAGCATAACTTGGGCCCCTTTATTAATTTAATTGTCGGATCTTGGGTCTGACTTGGCCATTTCAACCATGCTCAAACACATGCTTTCACTAAAATCCTGTTAAAAAAAAAAAAAAAAAAAAAAAAAAAAAAAAAAAAAAAGAGAGAGAGAGAGAGAGAGAGAGAGAGAGAGAGAGAGAGAGAGAGAGAGAGAGAGCATTGAATTATAACAAAAAATATGTGTTAAATATTGGAAATTTTTGTGTTCATTTATGTCGAAAGAAACACTCTTACGAGGGTGTTTTCAATTAAGATTTTAAATGAGTTATAAAGTTGATGGAGTTTAATTGAATTTAATTGAGTTTGACTAAATTTCACAATCTCCACATAGATTTTGACTGAATTCATGTATATATGTTAATTGAGTTTGTTAGACTTTTATTATTGATTTTAATGGAGTTTATAGCACTCAAAAAAATAAAAAATTTGTAACACCAATAATGCAATTATATAAGAATAAAAAAAAGGTGGTGGCAACGACATGTGGTGGTGGTGATGGCACTGGGGGTGGCGGCGTTGGTGGCAATTGTGGTGGTGGTCATGATGGTGAGAGTGGTGGTGGAGGTGGCAGCGACGATGGTGGTGGTGGCAATAGTGGTGGGGATGGCAATGTTGGTAGGGTTGGTAGTAGGGGTGGCAATGGCGATGGCACGGGTGGTAGAGGTAGCGGCAGTGGCGGTGATAGCCATGACAAGATGGTGGTAGTAGAGGTGGTGAAATCATATCTTGATAATAAAAATAATATATCTATCAAAATCTTTGGGGGGAAGCAAAGATTTGTCATGGCCTAATAATAGTCTAAAATCAAACGAAATCCACCACTTTTTGTATTTCCTTTAAAATCAATGAGTTTTTTAATACACCCAAACTTTTGCCGAGTCTTTCAAAGTCATGATTGAACATATCCAAATTTGAATGGAGTTTAAATTATTATTTACTGCGCACAGAAGCGTGCCACGAAAGGCCTGACTGTAAAAAGTCTATATCATTCAAGGCGCATAAAGCATACTGCGAAAGGCCCAACAGAGTTTACGGCATGCATAGCATGCCGTAAAACACTTTTTAGGGCATAAATTGCACGCCCTAAAAGAGTAATTTCAATCTTTTTTAAGGCGTTTAGTCTAAAATTTCTTGCTCCTATCAGTGTCCCTCCTATATGAGCCAGCCTGAACATTAACAGATCACTACTTCCACAATCCAAGCTTTCCTCCAAACCAAGAGTCTCCCTCATTTTTTGCAAAGCTTCAAACTTAGACCATTGGCTCTTACTTCTAGAACCCTTGTTACCATTTTCATTAGCAATAAACATGGATTTTCTTCGAGCATGCACATTAATCTAGGGCCCCTTCAACCCTTTCATAACCCCGTTTGCACCATCTGTGTTAGCACCAGCTGCATCACCTGGAGCCATCTAAGCAAGATCAGGGACTTTCATCTCATAGTTCTCTTTCTAGTGCCCATAACAACCACAAAAGTAATAAATAACATGCAAGTGTTTGCATTCAATATTATACTAGGTTTGATTGATTTGGACAAAAGCCTCAAGTGGCTTGGTCAATTCTAGCTCAATACAAAGGTGAGCAAACTTCCCCCCCTCTTTGAATATCATGCTTATTTTCATAATTTTTTTTAATTTTCCCTCCATGTTGGAATTTATGATTGGTACTACCATTTTACCAGGAAAAATGGAATTTGCCCAACGATTTATAGGTCATATTCAAGATCATATTGTACAAAACCCGTTAAGGTTGTTGTAATGGGTGCGTCTGTTGGCTTTTACAACTTTACTATAAATGATCAAGATGATAGGGTAGCCCACAATGGAAAATTATTCCAAAATCCAAATGGTGATGGTATAGATCTGATACGCCTACGCATCCAAAGGACCAAAATTTCATTCCATAAGCCACATATCGGCTGAAAAGAGGAAAAACATATTTTGACATGCTCTGTGGGACACACTATATGAGGGATCAATATCAATGAAACTGTTCCTATCAACTGATGAATCTCCTTGCAACTTGGCCAACTAGCCTAGGGGAAAAATCTCAACTATAGAACTAGGCCCTAAGCTCTAAAAGTCTATAGAGGGTGGGGTGAAGTAGGCTATAGGACAATAACCAACCTTTTTAAAAATTAAGTTCTTTAAAGGCACACAAGCACAAACACAAACAATTTCGTGGTTAATAAATTAAAACTATTAACAACGAATGTAAATAACACACGAGAATTGTTGACCCAGAAAACCCAACAAGGGGAAAAACTGGGGGCACCAAGCCAGGAGAGATCCAATCTACTCAATTAAGAAATACAAGAAAAACGAAAGAAAACTTAGCTCATCTATCACCTATAGGCAGCTACATTCCAACCTTTCTACAAGCACCTTTTCTTTATCTCTTAGCAGCAAATCCTCTCAAGAGCACCAAGCTCTAGTTGCATGTAGTTTGAGGTATGAAGTGAGTTGTGGTTTCACTGGTTCATCTATGTCAATCACAAAGTATGATTGAGCTAGACAAATGAAACCTAAGTGTTGTGATGATTAAACTAGAAGTAGTGAACTTGAAGCATATAGTTTAAACCAAAATAATAACAATGAAACAAAACAAATGTTCAGCTGAAATCTTGTAAATGTTTACTTGGAGAAAGCTACATGTATACAATCAATCGTATACTCACAAGTAACATATACTAGCTAAACAAATAATAATGAGCTCAAGCAATGAAAACCATTTAGCCATAAAGAGTATAAATCAACTTGGGGAAGTGTTTATGCGTATGCAATCATCCACATAGCCCTCAAGTGGTCAAGAGTGGCTAAACCAGTAAATGAGTTCTTGAATGCTCAAAGGCACATAAGAAGTTTTTTCAAAAACCTTTGAAATGATTCTGTTGGGCAAGTAGAAAGTGAGATGCAAAAAAGTTTTCTAAAAAATGAAATGAGTTCCTTTGAAAAACGCCAGCCGAGGAAGAATATATAGATTCTTTGAAACATTTTGTTTTCAAGACAACAACCCCACGTTTTGAAAGACCAGCCACAAGAAACACAAAGGAAGAGAAATGAGTTTTTAATTTCTTTTAGGAACCAAATGTACTGACACAACACCAAGGCTTTTAGAAAGATGAAATAAAATAAGCCAATATTATTTTGATGGGTTGGAATCAAGAAGCTGCATGCTTTTGAAAAAAGAAGTGGAGAATGTTTTCTTACAAGCTTTTAATAAAGATGAAATAAAATAAGCCATAAAACCAATAGCTCATGTCTCTAGCAAAGCAAAAAAGAAAACAGAGAAGGATAAGACGCTTCAAAGGAAACAAATGGGTTATGAAAAATAGCACACATGTTGTTTGAAATAGTTTAACCAAAAGAAAGAATAGAAGGTTGGCAGACAACATCATGGTTAAAAATATTAGGCTTAATATCACAAAACGTCCCTAAGATTTACGAAACGATCAGATTACATCCTTTTTTTTTTTTTTTTTTTTTTTTTTTTTTTTTGTTGGTCCTTAAGGTTAAGTATGTGTGATCACAAATGGTCCCTGCCGTTAGGTTCTGTCAAAAACTCATTTAGTTTGCTGACGTGTCATATATATATATATATATATATATATATCACAAAACATCCATGAGGGTCACGCACCTGCCACAAATGGTCCTTGCGAAATTTTTTAATTTAAAATTTATAAAATTTTGGTTTTCTTTTTTAAATTTTATGAATTTTAAATTATTTAAAAATATATATTGTATTTTAAATACATGTGATACTATATTATTGGGGATGTGGGCTCCACATATATGCCACATCAACAAACTAATGGAGTTTTAAAAAAATAATTAAAAATTCATAAAACATAAAAATGGAAAAATCAAGGGTTTAGGGTTCATAAATGGTCCTCAAGGTTAAAATCTTCAATAAAGGGTTAATGACTCAAATGGCCCCCAAAATTATACCCGATTTACATTTTGATCTCTCAATTAAATTATTCGTTCAAATAGTCCATCAACTCTATATTATTTGGTCAGTTGGTCCTACCTTTACATTATGTCAATGTTGCTGTTAAATATGAGGGCAAATTGGTCATTTTGCACGTTATAAATAAATAAATACTTAAAAATGAAATAAAAAGCTATCTCTCTCTCTCTCTCTCTCTCTCTCTCTCTCTCTCTCTCTCTCTCTCTCTCTCTCTCTCTCTCTCTCTCTCTTTCTCCATTCCCCCATGACCACCACCCTCAAGCTCCAACCCCCAAACCCATCCCACAACCACCCTTCACCCCATGCCCCATGAACCCAGAACCCCAGCTCCTCCCCACCCTCCACCCGAGCCAGCAACTACAGAAAAAGAGAAGAAGAAAAAAACCTTCCACAGACCCCCTCCCAACGAACCTAGAACACCAACTCAACAACCACCCAAAACCTCTCCTCCTCCCTCTTGACTTCCCTTCGTTGTTGAGAGACAACCACCCACCACCCTCCTCCCTACCCAACAACCACCTTTCATCCACCAAAAAATATTCTCAAGACACCCAAAAATCCCCACCCCATTACTGTTTTAATTTTTTCTTGATGTTGTAGTTTCGATATTGTTGATGGTAATAGTTTACCAAATGAGTTGAAAGAGTGGGGGTGGGTCTTCGTGGTTGGTATGGAGGGAATACAAATTAGTTTCATCAACTCGTCGCTTTCTCTTGAGAAAGTTTGTATCTTTCGTGGAAGAAGATGCGAGTCTTATGATGTGCCAATTGAATTCCATTTCTGACTTGATATTGATTGAAACCATGATCAACTTTTGTGCTTCTGTTTCCAAGCATTGTGGGTAACTAGAAATTTCTTTTACCAGTGAAATTTGGAATACAAATGAGTTTTATTTATACTAAACTATGTAAAACTGGAATACAAATGAGTTGTATTTATTGTAATCCTATTTTTATTTGTTAATTATGAAAAGTAGTATTTACCTTAAAATTTGGTTAAATCTAACAGAAAATTAGATGATTCGACCAATGGACCTAATAATATAAAGTTGATGGACTATTTGAACTAATAATTTAGTTTGGGGACCAAAATGTAAATCATATACAAATTTGAGAACCATTTGAGTAATTAACCCCTTTTATAAATGGTTTTTTCATTTTAAAATTATTTTTGAAAAACTTCATTAGTTGATGTGGCATATATGTGGAGTCCACATCTTCAAAAATGTAGTGTCACGTGCATTTAAAATACAATATATATATATTTTAAAGAAAACCAAAATGTTATGAATTTTAAATGAAAAAATGAAAAAATTTAGTAGGGACCATTTGTGATAGGTACGTGAACTGCAAGGATGTTTTGTGATATATATATGCCAGGTCAGCAAACTAATGGAGTTTTTAATGAAACCTAACAGTAGGGACCATTTGTGATCACACATACTAATCTTTAGGACCACCAATGACAAAAAATAAAATAAAATTAAGGATGCAATCTAATAGTTTGGTAAACCCTAGGGACGTTTTGTGATATTAAGCCAAAATATTATAATATATTTAAAGACGATTCTTTGAATCAAAACCACATTCGGTGGTCTATCAAAAAAGAATAGAGATGGGGAAAGACAAAGTTACAAATAGCCCATGGCTCAAAGATATTAACAAATATTTGTTTAACTTAGCCAATCAAACAAATTCTTTTTGGATATGGCTATTTTAAACAAATGTGAAAGCTTTAAGGAATAGAGATTTTAAATACTATAAAAAAACTCATGCTTGGTCAGACAAAAATAAGTGGAGAAATAAAAGATTGACCAATGT